AGCAGCCGAGCTTGTTTCGCCTCGGGCTTACTATAAACTTTCTTGATTTGACGGGAAAAATCTAACGTATTTTTTAGCAGTTGCTGAGTATTTTCAAACATTCCAGAAAACATTTCGTCATAATACATCTGTATGGAAATATAATTGTATCATCAACTTCAAATTGAATTTAATTGAAATGTATTTATTCCCTGAACATTTCAAATTAGACTTTTAAGACTTTTTAGTGCAACAAAACAAAACCAAAATAGAAAACGAAGGAATCAAATATTACGCGAAAAAACCCGGAATCAAGCTGACAAATCTTTTTTTCTTAATTGGTTTTGTCTGTTGGTCACTAGGACCAGTGCCATTCATAAGTAACAAAAATATCCGGTAGTTTTGCTTAGTACATGCAAGGACAATGGTCAGGAAGTGGTGTCCACCGCCGACAGCGTTCACAGTGGTCAAGTGGATCCATTACTGTGTGACATATTGACAATTTGAATACTGTATGTGTTTCGATAGTTCGCTCGACAGCAGCTGAAGAAGGATTTGTAGCTCGCATACTGCTTAATCCGGAATTGTGAGGCTCAACCAATCGGAATGTAATAGCGATCTGACACCTTCCATTCTGTTTAATGTGCCGGAGTTCTTGCTACAAATCACAAACACTTACAATTGACATCGCCCTAAATCGAATTTGATTATCGTTATAGGAAAATAATGATGGTCAAACGTGGTACTTGTGAGGCTGTGAATTCCAGTTAAAATACATTTCTGGGCAAGCGCTATATTTGAATATTCTAATGCATGCATTTTTATTTTTATTTTTATTTTCTCTATTTTCAAATACAGGGTTTGGTTCTACATAGCTTAGTATCCTGTTAACATTAGTCATTTGAAATTGGTTTCCTTACATGTATGTGAGGTGAGTTAGATATTGAGATGGCGAAAGATGGAAGGACAGCCTTTACCCTATTCTTGATTTTACTGTAACAGAAAAATAGCAACTGTTATATAAATAGATTAAGGTTCATCAACCTTATGAGCACTAAACATAACGGCATATGGCCCGACCGCGCCATTCCGATAATACTCCAAATTCCTCTGGAACTCGCTATTTCCCCAGATAGAGACTTTCTCCAGCTGTGAAGTGATTTTTACGTTTGAAATGAGAAAAAAACCGAGACGGAGCGGAATGATATCCGAGACGAGCATCGAACATGTCAGGGTTTGTTATAATATTTGTCAGCTTACCTAGCATATAATATTCAAAGTATTATAAATGTAATTCAGATCATTAAGTCTCAAGTATAGACATGAAAGATCGTCGAGTTTTTTCTAACCATTTAACCAAGTTCGTTTTCTTTATTATAGGCAATATGTTATAATATAGGACATTTGTACACTATCTGGTAAAGCTTTCCAATCGTGATGTTTCGGCTGAAAACCCCGGCGTTATGGTTCTCAGACGCCTTCCGACCGACTGAGAAAAATGATAATGATCTAAAATTCAATATCTTCATTTTATAAACAAACGTCTGTTAAAGAACATCAACTTAATGTATATGACTTCAGCGCAGATGTACACAAGTTGAGAATACTTACTTTAAGTATTCAATCTCTGAAATTGAAATTGAAATCGTCATCACGAAAGTGCTACTTAGCGACCTAACTGCACGCGTTAGATTGATCGACTACGGCTAAAGTTACTTGTTAATTAGAAAACGTGCTCCTTCTCATGGCACGAGACGTGTGGCAAGTCATTCTTGGGGGTTGGGAGGAATGATGGGGGTTGGTCCAAACACACGAGTTTGTATAATAAAAAAACTAACGAAGAAAACTTAGTATATATACACTAACTAATGAATACAGAGACAAACAACATAAGAAATTTGTCGGTGAAATAATCTAATTCATTCAATGTCATACATGATAGAATTTGCTAAAATCATTAGTTGTTGACCGTGTACGTAACAATGACCGTGTCCATCATCAATCATTATGGTATTGTATTTCACCACGAGGGAAAGATTTTTACTAACGCACACGACTGTCAATGAGCAAAGTAATTTTATGTGATACCTAGTCGGGCTTCTAAACCAGATGTTGGACATTTTTTTGAATACATCTGGTCTTGCTTGTCAAAAGTTTTATCAGATTTGGCATACGAGCTATTAATAACCTGGCTTACATCACGTCCATTATAATTTGATTCTGAAGGCCAATGGTCCACCCGCCGCTCAAGGAGTAAAACGAGATAAGGGGATTTCCCGTTCAAAACGAGTGTTCGACGTCAAGTGACTCACGTCAACCATCAATTGACGTCACATCAATAAGCGCTGATGCGATATTACCATGACTAGTTTTAGAACACCAATTTCTCTAATAAGTGTGATATCTGGCCCTCGGGAGGGATTTAAATGTATGCGTTATGTGACACGTGCGTTTAATTGTTGGATTCCAGTAAGCACGTGGATTCTATTTTTCCATTTTCCATTCACACAGAAGAGAATGACTCATCACGAGAGATTGTCATACAATAGCTGCCAGCTATAAAACTAGGTATACTCATAAATGTGAAATATGTCGAGCAGCTAAAAGTTTTATTGAGTACCGTGGCTTCGCTATTACGACCCAGTCATTTCTAACGTGTAGTCTGCATCATTAGACATTTTGAGACTGCACAGAACACAATTTTGATATGAATTGTTTTGGTATTAAAGTTTAATCTCTGAAATCTTGCACATTGATATTCGATAATCTAAGAAATTCAAGATTTGATTTAAGTATAATTCATTGCTTTAAATAAACAAAAGGATTAGGCACAAGTTATAACAACCAGCCCTCTTCACAAAAAAATGTTAAAAGTTTAGTGATAAAGACATGTAAAATATTCAATAAACATTCAATGTGTCATACAAATTGTATGTATAAAGACAACAAAATACATACAGCGACAAGAATAGAGAGCAGACTCGGAAAGAACCCGAAAGAGGAGATGACGGGATGGATACAAAGGAATGATTCCTTGGTTCGTTATGTATGCACAACCGTGATTCTACAGACATGTATGTAAGCTGTGTGACACTATCTAACTTCACATTCACAACATCTACTCGGCAGTCTAATAATTCCGTTTTCTCTAGTCACTCCTGTTCGAGGTATAATATACGCATACTTGTCAATAGATATATGTATGTATTTATCAATTAATTCCTAAGTGTTTATGATTGAGACAAATTTGATGTACAGCTTTTATAAGATAAATATGACTCGACGTTCTTGTTTAACATCAACACTAACTACACGGATGTAAAGATTCATTACAAAACCCCTAAACAACAGAAATAGGTGAGTTCCCTCAATTGAAATGTCTCTATTTCGTAAGATTTTTATATACTCTTCACAAAAATGTCTTCACCGCTGTCATAACGACATACCTAAATGAGTATTAAGTTGAGATGTGAACAGTTTGACAATAAACACGACATGTTAGAATGTGGTATCACGTACATAGCGTGCCGAGGTCCTACTTGGTAAGAAAACACGATATACATAGTCATGTCTGTTGTATGTAGGTCTACATATCATATATATCACCGCCGATTTCATGTATATTATTAGCGAATAACACGGCCTCGGAGAGTCGCGAATTAAATGCAGGAACATTGTTTATAATACTGATAATTTTTTCACGTACTGTTTGCATGATAGGGAGGGACGGGAAGGGTTAATTAAGTACGATATGAGGGTAACGACAGGGAGAAGGAAACTGAAAATAACCTAATGACTTTCACGCCCAAAACTTGAAACAGAAGACATACTCTAACGAGGCATCACAGGAGTTACCGGGAAGGAACAAATTAATACTAATTGTCTCTGTGTAAAATACAGTACCAGTAACTACACTTTGGGTACTCCCGCCTAACTGTGTTACTAGTCTTTAAATTAACATCAATTAATCAACATCACCACAATAATCCTTCCATCCAAATTTTGATACATAATTATTCACATGCGGAAACAGAAATGTTACTTTATCCTGTCACTACATGACGCGCACGTCATTTATATTCCACTGTCCAGCTGATAGGGAGTCTCATTTCTGACACGACCCCTACTGATACCTAATCTCCCCCGTATGTTCCCTGCCTCCATCCCAGTACGCCGCCGCCTTCTATTTTTCTATTTTCCCCCTACCCCAAATCATCCTTTACATCTACACCACTGTTTGTCTCTATCCTATTTATATCTATAGATCACTGCATTTTTAAAATCTCTATTTACAAACGCATGCCCCTCCCTCTTTTATCCTCCCTGCTCATCCTCTCACTCTTTCCCTCTCAGGCCCCTCTGTATTTCCCATGTTTACTCTAATCCTCTCTCATTCCTATTGTTTGGCATATCTAATAAAGCTGAACACAGAGAAAGCAGACGTTTTATCATAATGATAGCTATTAATTTCGCCTGAATTACACAGTAAATTGGGGTATTCACTAGAGAGATCTATTATGCATCTTAAATAACAAAAATACGGTAACAAATGTTTCCCTTGCAGCCCAGAGCTGAACAATGGGCCTTTAACGCAACAGCGAAAAACACTTCAAAGACATCGGTAAGCTTCCCGAAATATCTCATTAGATTTCTTCGTTATAGACCTACCTTGCGTAAAACGAACGAAATTACATATGCTAGTATACTATAGGAATGGGGTGTGTGACATGCCTCTTTATAATATAAGAATTATACTACATTAGATGTATATTTCGTTGTCTGATTTACACTCTTAACAGAAATATGCATACAGTATTTTTTAAACTCATAATGTACATGAATTGTAAGCTATTTTCCAACTGATGTTCATAACCGAGCCAGGATTTGCACTAAACTCACCCAAGACAGAGATGTAATATACATATCGTTAAATAAAACTGTCACCTAACAGCCTTACATTTACATGTATAATACTGAAAACATGTGTGCAAAGTTTTAAAACAGTACAATTACATACATACCTAATGTAACTCCGAGAGATGAATCCCTAGAAAGCTGTTCGCTCGTGCGGCACCGAATGATATGACGAACACGTGCGTCGACACTTATCTATGCCGGTATACAGCTGGAACAAAACGATAGCAGCCACGGGGATACTTAACACTGTTACAACGCATGCGCATAATTCTCCTGTCGCATCTCCCAATATTTGTGTGAAAAGCAAGGGGAGATACATAAATAGACACACGATGACGGAAGAGGGTTCGTTCTTGGTTTGTTTGGGAAATTGATTGCAAGGAAAACCAGAAAATGATATGATTAAGTTGAACTGGCGTGCGCGTATTGCCACACTGTCGGATAGGACATGGTGCAACTATTATACGGTGAGCGTTTGGTCTATTCAGATGTTCGGTGAGCGTCGGTCGAGTCAGATGTTCGGTAAGCGTCGGTCGAGTCAGATGTTCGGTGAGCGTCGGTCGAGTCATATGTTCGGTAAGCGTCGGTCGAGTCAGATGTTCGGTGAGCGTCGGTCGAGTCAAATGTTAAATGAGCGTCGGTCGAGTCAGATGTTCTTTTTCTGAGCATCGGATGCGAGATTTTAACATTTCTATTCAACCTTCAAGACACTGCTAAAGCTTAGCTTGATAATGACCAATTCAAGAAATGAATGTCTGAACAGAGATTAATTATATTAGAGAGAGTAATTATATTATGGAAAGAATGCTTCTGGAAAGAATAACTGAGCACTATTTTGATTGAGAGAAAGGCCCGCGTTGTTGATTCTGTGTGGTTCGTAGAATTTTGACAAATTAATCCGCAATAAAAAGTAAAATTATTTAAAAACCAATTTTAGTCCAATGTTCTGGAGATATAAACAACATATTGAAGTGTGAATAACTCGGCAATTCGGTATGATTTTATTTCATGTGACATGTAATAGGAATATCCTTTTATGAGATATAACATAACGCATGAATAATTATTAATTGCTATACAATATGTATAAAAACCTTTTTGTTGTGATTTATTGCGATATTGCGATATGACCCCAGATGCTGTACATACGAAGGTTTAACTACCCAAAGGTGTAGGAAATATATGTGACATTTTTTTGGGTATGATATGCGACATGAAATATAAAATATTGAGATACTATGTATGTCAAGATATGACAGTTCTTTTTTACAGTATTTACCAGTTATTTAAGGTGTGATATTTTTCTTAAAGTACAAACATTATTAACGTATTGCTAACAACATTTGAAGTTTGCCGCCTGTTATTTGGCCTTGTTGTACAAAGTGGGTATCAGTAGCTGTGGGGTTTATTAGTACGATGCCAGGTGGGAATTTTAGCCAATCAGAATTAAGATAGGCCGATCTCGGAGCAGACAGAGAACGTTCACCTGGGCGGTAGACGTGATGGAGCATGGCGCTCCGAAAATGTGTGGTACATGTATAAATACTTCTGGCTGTTTTTTATTTTTTTTTTTGCCATGGAAATGCTCCGTGGTGATGGTGTGATGGGGGTAAACAACTAGATGGGGACCTGACCAGGACGGCTGGGCATGACTGACTCTGAGTCCACACCAGTTCAACGTACAGAACATGGGCGAACGACCTGAACTTTATCAGTCACTTGGGCGACGTCTATAGCTGACCACACGGACCATCCCTCTACGGCTCTGGGACAGCGGCACATCAACGTAGATGGCGATACACCTGAGGTTCACGCACCGGGGCTCACTCATTTGTGAATGGTGGTAATGATTCAGTGGCTTCCAATATGTGACAATCGTGTGATTGGTATTTGAACTGTGTACTGGATTGGTATTTGAACTGTGTACTGGAATTGTGAACTTTAACTGTTATGGAACTTTTAGTGTAATTGTATAGCCGGTAGTAATATACTCACAGTGAATAGGATAGAATAGTAGGAAGTCAATTAGTGTTACTTAACCTATATTTATTGGAAATGTGCTGTAGCGGACGTAGTGAATCAGTAATGCCAGATAGTTTATGGCAGTGGTCATTCTAGTCATATCTTTAATTGTTGGGTAACCTCTGTGGCCAGTATTGTTATTTTTAAGCTGGTTTGTGTGAGATGAGATCTTAGCACATAGGATGAAATTTTCTGTAAAACTGTGTATTTTTTCCTTGTATTTTTGTATATAAATTTGTTATTCAAACTTTATATTTGGGTTTGCGTATTCCTTTCACTTAGCACCAGTCCTTCGGTTAACACTACAATTATGGTGGCAGCGGTGGGATAGATTATCAGTGTTGGTGCTTTAAGTGAAGGGATATATACTTATTTTTTCTTTTACCATGAGAAATGTTTTCGAATTATTCAAAGGTTGAATAGTTAGCTATTTTTTTGTCATAGGGTATTAGACTAGGGAGGAGTGGTTGATTTCGGTTTTATTGATAGATTATACAGTTACTTACATATAAACTATATATAGATATAGCAAGTCAGTCATAAGTCAGTTTCCTGGTCAGGTCTCTTATATTTCCATGAATATTTAATACTTAATTGTTACTTAAGTTCTTAAGATATGATGCAAGGGTGGATTGAGGTAGGGACCAAGATGGGTCTAAAAGATGACGCCCTACGAGAGTTCATCGGGGAGCAGCAGGATCGTGAACGCGATGAAAGAGCTGCTGAAAGAGGCCTGCAACTTCGAGAGATTCAGTTGCAGGAGAAATCAGTGGAGATTAGGCTGGAAGCTGAGACTCGAAAAAAAGAGGAGCCGGGAAAGGTGGGTCAGTATAACCCCAAACTACCCCCTTTTGACGAATCTAAGGATGATTTGGACTCCTACCTTCGGAGATTCGAAACGTTTGTGGTAGCCCAGGGCTGGAAGGAAGATAAATGGGCTGTGGCACTAAGTACATTGCTAAAGGGGAAAGCATTGGAAGTTTTCTCCCGACTCACCCCTGAAACAGCGCTGAACTACCGACTCCTTAAGGAAGCATTGCTGAAGAGATTCGACTACACCGAAGACGGCTTCCGTAAGAAGTTCCGCGAGAATAAAGTAGAGGACCGAGAGACTTTCTCCCAATTTTCGGTGCGTCTAGACAATTATTTTACTCGGTGGTTAGACATGGCTAAATGTAACAAAATCTTCAATGGGCTAAATAAAGGATCTGATGATGCGTGAACAGCTGATCACGTCATGTCAGAAGTATTTCTGAAGGAAAGGAAGCCTCAATCGGTAGAGCAGCTGTCCGACCTCGCAGACCAGTTTATTGAGGCGAGAAGACAGCCAGCTAAAACTTTCCTGATGAGATATTCTCCTTTCAGCAAGCCGACGAGTCAGCAATCTAGTACGACAGGTGGTAGCAACCGTCATAACAATGGAAGTAATCCTACAGAAAAGGGGAACACTAGTAATACTACATACACCGACACAAGGAAGTGCTTTAATTGCCAGGAGATAGGCCACATCGCAGCTAAGTGCCCTAAGAAGGGATCTAAGGGTAAATCTATGGCTATACAGAGTGTGGAGCCGAGTCTACCAGTGAAGAGTGGCTTACTAGGGGAATAGGAAGTCAGCATACTTAGAGACACTGGATGTAGTGGCATAGCGGTGCGTAGCAATTTGGTGGATAGGTCTCAGTACTTAGGCTACAGTCAGGATCGTAAGTTGGCTGATGGTACAGACACTACCGTTCCGGTGGCAGAAGTTTACATTAATTCCCCCTTTTACATAGGAAAGGTTAGAGCATGGTTGATGGAGAATCCAGTATATGACGTATTAGTCGGTAATGTACCTGGAGCGAAGGAACCGGAGGTACCGGAAGTTATCACCGGGGTTCAAACGCGAGCCCAGACTCAGGAGCAGCGCCCAGGAACTAAACCTCTGAAGGTCCCCAGTCCACTTCAGGAAGCTGCTACTAAAACCGACATGGTAAAGGCACAGACGGAGGACCAAACCCTGAAGGTCTTGCATGAGCTAGCGAGTCAGGTAAAGGTAAAGGAGGCACCTAACTGGAAAGTGCCGTGTTTCCTGTATCGGAATGGTCTTCTTTATAGAAGGCTAGAGGATCAATGGGAGGTAACCAATCGGTTTGTGGTACCAAGTCCATACAGAGAGGCAGTTCTTCGATTGGCACACGACAGCATCATGGCGGGACACATGGGAGTTAAGAGAACTACGGAGAGGGTCATGTCGGAATTTTTCTGGCCCGATTGTAAAGCAGATATATCCAGGTTTTGTAAATCGTGCGACATATGTCAACGGACCATCCAGAAGGGGTGTGTTCACAAAGCACCGTTAGGGGAAATGCCCATTATCAGCAAACCATTTGAACGTGTGGCAGTAGATTTAGTGGGACCATTAATTCCTGCATCAGATAGGGGCCATAGATATATATTGACAGTAGTAGATTTTGCTACCAGGTATCCAGAGGCAGTACCTCTGAAGAAAATCGACACAGAAAGCGTGGCGGACGCGCTGATAGATATCTTCAGTCGCGTTGGAGTACCAGAGGAAATTCTGAGTGATCGAGGCGGACAATTTACTTCGGAGATGATGGCCGAGGTTAGTAGGTTGCTGTCAATAAAGCAGCTAGTAACTACTCCTTATCACCCAGCTTGCAACGGCTTAGTTGAAAGATACAACGGGACTCTGAAGTCTATGTTGAAGCGTATGTGTATAGAACGGCCAAGGGATTGGGATCGGTATGTTAGCCCACTACTATTTGCGTATCGCGAAGTACCTCAGGAATCACTCAGATTTGCGCCATTCGAACTCCTATATGGTCGTACAGTACGAGGACCTATGAGAATACTACGGGAACTATGGACCAAGGATGTGGATAATCCGGAAACCAAAACCACCAATCAGTATGTCCTTGATCTGAAGGAAAGACTAGAGCAGACTTGCAAGTTGGCGCAGGAAAATCTTACAAAGGTCAAGGCAGTTCAAAAGAAACAGTATAACATTAATGCTAGAAAGAAAGGACTACGAGAAGGTGACAAGGTACTGGTCTTACTACCTACCAAAAGTAACAAATTAGAACTACAGTGGAAAGGACCGTTTCCAGTAACCAAGGCGAAGGATCTGGATTACAAAATCAATATGAATGGTAAAATTAAAACCTTCCATGGAAACATGCTTCA